TAATATAGCTTTATACTCCAGTATGCTAAAAGAAAATATGATAAGTTTAATTCTATTATTTTATTTATCTACACAATTGATAAAGCAATTTGCAGATTTAAGCCTTAATTTAGTTTAAATATGCGCAACAGAATTTTCTTCACGAGTTCTGTAAATTTATTTGCAGAAAGCTAATTATATTTTGTGAAACTTTTTAACCGATTTCAAAATCTAAAACAAGGATGTTATATGCATAATGACATGTATGTATAAATGCTTAAATGACATGTTTACATCAGCGATATTTCGATACCTTTGTTTTTTATGAAGGACTGCGTTTGTAGATTACGTATTTTGTATTCATTCGAAATCCGAAAGGAGGATATTCTAAGTTCAAACGGGTTCGAATATTTTTATATAAGTAGGTATGTTGACCGATTTTGACTGACTTCGCCCACGTAAATTATATTAGCCTACGACTCCCGCGTTTGACCTATCTCCACGTATGTGATTTTTTTTTAATCGGTCCAGTACCTCCGGAGCCTATTAAATGCAAAAGATCATATCTTTCCTCCTTATAATTTTAGTATTGATATGTACAAAATCTCCATTCCTTAGAATTCTCTACATTCACATATTTACTTATGTACATATTTAATATTTTTAGTGTAACCTATTATTATAAATTCAATATCTTCATTCGACTTCATTTTTCAAGAAACTGCTATTGAAGTGGGGCAGTATTCTGTACGTTATAACAAGTATATGATAATCGTCCGACTTCATTTTTGCAGTTTCTTGAATAATGAAGTCGCGTTTTAAGATTATTTCTCTTAAGTTTGTAGTTGGTTGTATTGAAAAATGTTTCAACCCACAAGTAAATTGCTTTTTATAAAAAAATCTGTTTATAATATAAAAAAAAAAATGAAATTTAAGCGGATTACGTATTTCAAAGAAGCACTTAAGGACAAGCACCTCAAATGCTTAAGTCGATCGGGAACATTAAAAGCGAGCCTCTTGGAAAATGAATTCTAAATATAATTTAATACTCAGTACCAAGAAATAATAAATCTTTATTAGTATTACATTCCTTCGCCTTTATTCTTATGTTTTTAACAATATTATAAAAAAATATACCTACGCTAAAGACGTTTCTTAATGCAAAACTTACAATCAGCTATTTTTTATTATTCAAAGAAGTATGTGAAATATATGGAGACAAAAACACCCCCTTTCTGATAACTAATCAACTTATAATTATTAAACCTATTAAGATACTTCACCTAACAAAAAAGATCACAAATAGGAACAAACAAATAAAGTCCAAGTAAAATGTATAAAAAAAAATTCGACTTAAGGTACTGTCTATAATAATATAGCTGTTATACAACAGTTGTGGTATTATGTTAAAAATAAAGTCAAGTAAAGCGCTGTCGCATCCTTAAAAATATATTGTCTTATGACATAGGTTTGATTGAACCACGATGCTATCCGGTGCCGAGCTTCATGTCGAGGCGTTTTATAATATTATCAGTATAGCAATATCTCCAATTGAGGGGCCAACATTTCAAAAAAACTTTATTCATTGATCATTGAAAATCTATAAGAAGTCTTTTTTCTAAATTTAATATTTGTGTTCCACCTTTAGTTTAAGAGACTCGCCTTGAACGGTTTTTATATTTTAGTTTTCTTTTTATCATCAACGTTGGTATGTGTTAATTAACATTATATTCCTAATCTAACCGTGCAGATAAATGGCGCCGAACAAATTAGGGGCTAGCCACCCAATTGGACGGCTTATTTAACCACTTGGCTGTGACACACATATATATTTTATGTTTTCTTGGTTTATGAAGATGAGCTGCTGAACAGTTTTATTATCGAAATCACCAATAATAAAGAGTCATCCAAGTTATTGTGGAGGAACCGAAATAATCCGTGCTTCGGAAGGAACGTTAAGTTTTTGTACCTAGCTGCATCGGCTAACAGTTATCACCACCCATTCCTCACAGGGCCCAAGAAGCGATTAATGGTACCGCGAGTTAGTATGTGTTAAGCTAAAGAGAGTGAAGCATTACTAATAAATAAATATGTGATTGTAATACCGCGTCCGGACGTTGGCCGCAAACTCACTTGCTCAAACGCGCAACCGTGTAAAAGCGTCGTAATCGCTTTCGATGTTTATTTATTTATTTACGCATAGGTTTGTGATAAAAAACTAACATCGATCTAATCGGCTACAAGCGCTTGCAAACCTGCACGTACTAAGTCGAACACACGATCTACACGCTAGAATTTGTGATGACTTGGTGGCATTTAGAAATAATATAGCTCTTTCTTTTTTTGAGTTGTTTCTTATACAAAACCAATTAAAAGTTAGTGATTTTGGGTCGCACGCCTTATAGTAATGAAGTTTAAAGTATGTTTTTTCTTTCTTTGTCATTCTGGAGGCAAATTGCGTTACAGTCATCTTCAAATTTTGCAGTAATCAATTATAAAGAGACAATTCAAGGGAAATTCGCCTGGGACAATATTATAGTTTCGATATAGCTTGTTGATCCGTAGGGACTATTACTAAACTTCTTAATAGCTACTAACCTAGACTCTAAAATGATATACCTACTCAAGCTTACGGGAGTGTTTCCACATGGATTTCATAGCCAGTGCCGAATTTTGCCAGAGACAGAAAAGTCAACACAAGTAATCTGTGACTTGAATTTTATTTATCGGTTACATTTTTACTTAAAAATATTACTAGTCAGAAGCGTGGTTTATTATGAAAAATTAATTAATTGGCTCTGAACCATAGCGCGGGGCTCGTAGCATTTGTTACTTTTGCTTCGTGACTAATCCGGCCCTGTTTATAGCGTTCTTCTCATAACAACTGTGGAATTGCGAGCACCTTCCATCCATACCTAGTCAGTATCTACAAGATTTGATGTGCAACGGGCACCATCCGTATAGAAATTCACATTTATAAACAATAGCTGTTTTCGCGCGACTTCGCGTAACTTATAGCCTATGTCAATCCCACATGATGTAGCTATCCGTAGGTGACGGAATTTTTGAAAATCAAACAAACAAATAATCAATCAAATCTTATCTCATTTTAATATTAGTATAAACAACAAATCTCGTATTAATCACGACTCTACACGTGTTTCGCCGCTTCACGTAGCATCCACAGGAGTTAGTGCCCCTAGTCTTTACAGTGTATAGAACTAATTAAGAAATCAAACAATGCAAATTGTAAAATATATTGTTACCTATTAAATGAATATGCGACGTCGCATAGAATTTTTTTTAAGAAGTTTTAAGAAGTTTAAACAACACAATTTTTTAAGGTCATTTAATTTAACAGAAGCACCAATTCGCGGCAATCACTGACAAAATCTCTTATAAACAGAAATATTGAATTCCAACTTTATTGTACGATATTCGTTTTAAATTATTTGCGAGACGGAGGCCAATTCATTCCTAAATGATTTTTCATCTACGAATTTCTACGAACAAATAAGATCTTAAAAAAATGTATTAATAAGGTCCGAAAATATGCAAGGTGATAACATATGTGACAGGACACCTCACAGATTTGATTAAATTATTGTGTCCTGAAATCAGATGAGTTAAGAGACAAGAGATGAGGATTATGATTTTGACGTTATATTTAAATTTAATATAATAGAGATGATGACTGGGTAAAAAAAATGCAATTCTATTTAGTCCGTCAGTCAGATAATAGAAAAATATTACATACGTATTTTTTTTTTTTAATTTAACAAGAAATAGTATAGATAACAGGCATTAAAGTTGAGGAGTGGGGGCTCGCTACGTCACAGTTGAGTAGAAAACGTACTCTAACGTGACGTCATGCGAAATTTCAACTCCACTAATTTTTTTCGTAATCATTAAATGACGCCGTAATTTTATGATTACGAAAAAAATTAAAAAATACGTGTTTAATATTTTTTAACACTCTACCTGACGGACAAACAAACAGAAATTAGTCATCATCCCTATTCAGTTAAACATATACCTACCTACATATAATTTTATATCTCTTGCTAAAAAGAATTATTCTACAAACTTTATTAACCGCACTGATTTGAGCCGTGTGATCTCTTAAAGTAGTGGTTTGCAGAGTTGTTTTCGATCCACATCATCCAAACTTTCCAATCTTGTGACCCACCATTGCGGCTCGTATATCTATGCTATGTTTTTATGTTTTTGCAAATTCAGACTAGTTTCATTGCGGTGCGGATAAGCATGGTACTCTTAAAATCAATTTACGATAATTGTCATCTTCATAGTGCTCTGTCACTCTATAACATTTAAATACTTAAGAACAGCAATGCCGGTAGTCTTGAGTTTGATAAAGAACGTTAGGTAATGATCCGTAATTCACTGACCGAGCTGTTGCTAGGACACTAACGAATATCGATAACTTGACTTGGTACATGCCTAACAAATAGCATTATACTTAACTGTAGAGACTTGCAATATGTAATGTTTAAATTACGATTGCTACGAGTGAGCAATCGGATTCGCTCATATTGCGATCATAAACCCTGTCGAGACTGCAGCCATAGGCCAAGTCGACGAAAGACGATTTATCTGATGTCGATTTTAAGAGTACAGGACCTGAATCTTAGAGTAGTTTGTAGTAAACATTATCTTTAATTATAAGCAGCATGAAGCTCGATTTTAATACAGATAGACTGGCTTCAATTACCTAGCTAGAATACACTTCTCCAAAACAGTAAAACCTATTTTTCAGATTTTACCCGAATTCCGAATAAAACCTGTTATAGTAACAACTATTTTTTTACTGCAAAAGATCAAGTTGCTAGCACGTTTCAGCAATTAATATTATTATATTTCTAATTTAGCGCTAGCGTACGTTAAGGCTTTGCATATTTTAATGTGATTGAAATCAAACTAGGTGTTTTTTCTTTACAGATGTCTTTACAGGCATCTTCAAGAACAAGTTGAACTTTATTGTGAAGATTCAATGAATTTGAGTGGGACCTGAGTCTGGGCATTAGTCTAAAATGTCGGACGCTGTAACACATCACAAGCAACGGGTGCCTCCGTTTTTGAGACAGGTAAAACGATAGTTATTAAAAGGGAAAGCCAAATGCTGTCCTTGTCTAACACATACTGTTATATAAACTTTGTGCAATTGGAACAACATTTCAATGTAAATAAGAGTTAAATGAATACTCTCCTTTCTTTAATCTGTTATAAAATAAATAAAGTAGCTTCCAGTAGTATAACTAAATTAATCTCAGTAAATCAAATAAACACACAATTATGCTAAAAATAAGTAAACATTACATTAACGATTAACTACCGTCTAACTGGCAGAGAATACCTTAGGCATTGAGTCCGCCATTTGTATTTACAGCTGCTGGCAGTCAGCGGCATAGTCCTGTACATGATAGGTACAGGTGCAAATATAGCTTTCCCAGCTGTACTTCTGGAGCAGCTGCGTCAACCCAACGCCGACATCAAACTGACCACAGAACATGAGTCTTGGATAGGTAAATATCTTGGATAAACAACTATTTATAAATATCTTCATATACACGGGGTAAATAATGAATTACAAATCCTAGTGGTTGAAGAGCTTAGTGGGCTTGTCTTATTTCAAAAAATTGCCTTTCAAATGTTTAGCCTTTGTAATAAAGAATTATGGAATGATGTAACGTTTAAAGTTGCCTTTGGAACTAGTGATAGTGATCAAAAAACATAATAAAACTTAGCTAAAACCCGTCGAAAGTTGCAGTTAGCATTCGTTTGACATTTCTTAAAATATTATTTTCTAAAAGTTATTTACGTCTAACGTTTGCCTTAGACAAATTAATTTAACGATGTCGTTCATTCAATATCTTAAAAATACATATCAATTAGCATTAGCGTGAAGTTCGTGTAAAATGTCATATCTTTAAAATGTCTTATTAGAATTGAAAGTAAAAAATAATGTTTTGAATCAGTGTACAATTCTATTTGTACCTACGGCTTATAAATAGTTAATAAAAACAAAACCAACAATACCGCTTGTTGTTTTTGTTTTTATGTCAACAAACTGAAGTTGTATCGATAAAAACATACTTAGCTTTTATTAGTGCGCACTAAATCGTAAATAATAATTTACGTTTTTAAAACCTTGTTATTATAAACAAATATTATATGAATATTTGTTTTTTACTTTTGTCTCAATATTTTATTATTCTTCGAAGTCCAAACACGATGCAGTTGTGTTACTTCATTGTTAAGTTCCTAGTGGTTCCTATGACCACCTTCCAGCTCCAACTTCACCAGATCTTGGTCTGGAAAGCATCCAGTACCAAATTTCTCATTAAGACGAGCCCAAACATTAGCTAAATTTCTATAAACACCTTCCAACTTCATCATCATATTAGCTTACTACCACCATAATATTGCATTGTCATCTGACTTACATTTCTATGCAAGATTTCAAATCCATCGAACATCGGGATGTGGGTCACATCTGCGGCCCAAGATTTGCACACTAACATTCTAACAAGGAAAGTTAAATAAAAGCTCGTAAAAACGGTCGACAACTTCTAGAATAACAGGGTGACAATGGGGGTTTACACATAAAATGAATTTCTTTGAATTCGAGTGAGGACTTCAATTGAAATTTAATAAATATGTTAACTATTGTATTTTTTAATAGCTTTTTTGTTTTTAAGCCAATTTTAGTTTCTTTTTAAAGGTTTTACATTTTCCATTAGTTTCATAATTGTTAATCAATTTGATTTCTACTCCGTCTCATTAATAGTTTTATCTTTGTTGTTTCTAAGAATACTTATACACATATCGTTCAACAAGTAATTTGCTTTTAATAGGGAAAATATAACTTCTAAATCCTGAATTACAAAAATTGTCATGGTTAAAGATTTGAATGAGAGCTTTGTCGAGTATCTCCATAGATTCATAAATTTATGTGGTTACGAATAAGTATTTAAGTGTACACGTATTTACAAGACTCAGTTGGTACGCCTACGCGTTTGGCCTAATATGTCTTATATTATAACTTATAACTCACTGGTTCAATCGGACGCAGCATCAATACAGATGTAAATGGAAACTCTATTGAAACATTCTGAGAACTCTCATTATGTCGTCCTTTAGAAATGTCGTCCAATTCAAACATCAAACATATATAATATAAGCAACAATTTAACAATGATATAAAAATAAATTAATTCAAATTCAAATTCGAAAAACCGATTCCCAATAGATTGATTACAATAGCGAATTACAAAATAAATTCAATTCTTAATGAAATATACTTAAAAAAATCCTTTCTCCCTGGCCCTCTGAGATGGGATTCGAACCCATGACCTTTCGCAATACTTTTAAGTAAAGCATTGTGGATTTAAAATTGATCAAGTATAGAAATTCATTTGTTCTTAATAATACTTTTAACTGCGTAGGTAGAATAATAGGAAGACTGCCAGCGTGAGGGGGGGGCTAAAAGGGGCCTAGTACAGGGGGCGAGTGTGAGAATTTAAACTCCGGATCCCGGGGCTCATTCCCTAGGAGACGTGCGACATAAGACGTAGATACGTACACCCATGGCCTACGGAAGATTCCCACAGGGGGTGTGTGTGTATCTATTATTCCTAAAACATAAATAAAATAAAGTTAAAAAAAGAAAAGGTAGAATAACAGAAACTGAATCCTTTGTTATTTTGTTAGGTTATTCGTTTATGCTTCAATGACAGAAATGTGATATGAAAATAAATAGAACGATGTACCTTTTTCTCTTTCAAAACTAATTGAAATTTGTTGAATTTGTGTGTGTTGCGTCCTCTAAAGCTGGTTAGCCATTTTGAAAATTATGCTGCGCGTTCATCACATTAGACATTAAAACTATGATTGACCAATAAAATCGAGAATCAGAAATAGCCAGCATGCCTCACGCGGATGTCATCAAAGAATGTAACTCAGTCGTAATTATCAATCTACACACGTGAACCGCAAGTAACCTTTTACAAATCTAAACTATTATGTTAATATGTAACTCTAAAATTAATAAAGAATTTTAGAAGAATATGCATGACAATCTGTCAAAAACATTAAATAATTTAAAAAATTCTGTGAGAAACGGGAAGCAGTCGTTTTCAAAATAATAAAATGAAACATTAAAAACCCGTAAATTTTTTTGGACAATTGAAAAAGTAATAATTTAACGATCAATAAACTTGTTGAAAAAATGATGTTTCTTTTTAATTTCTTTGAGAACGTTTCTTCGAGTACAACATATAACTAGCCACAATTGAATGTGACGATGGAATGTCTGCAATATTTTATTCATAGCGTCGCGCATTCAATTTACAAGTGATAAACTATTGATAGACAGCATTGCCAACTGTAAAGACCGGATGGATATTTAATTTAAATTGTATTTATTTTCGACACTTCCAAAAATTTGTTGAGAACATAATAGTCACGCGAATTTTCGAAATGCAGGTCCTCACCATCATGTGCCTTTTGATGTTCCAACTGCTGAGGCTCAGGCCTTCCGATTCGAAAGCATTACAGATAAAACGGGCCAAAAATTCTGTAGCTACATCATATGTGGGTGACATATATATAATTATAATATAATTTATAATTATAATGTAATTTATAATTATAATCTATTCTATAATTTACGCGGGCGAAGTCACGGAAAAACAACTGTGGTTAACGCCTCAAGCAATTTCCACACACAGTTCGAACATAGGATAGATGAGCATAAATTTACTATCTCAAGCTCCTCCGTGCTTGAGAAGGCACATTGAGCTATTGGTCCCAGAAGACTCTGCTGTTGTTAACACCCACCCATCGACACTGAGTCTTCCGGCTCAGTAGCCCGCCCTTCTATTTGATTTCATCTTTAAAGAAGACCTATACCACGGTTATGAGAATATTAATAGGCTGATAATAGCTTGCCATACACGCGCAGATGTGCCTGAATAGTTACCTGACGGGTAAATCTGTGTGTCTAGGGCAAAAAAGGCACGGATGTGTCTGCCGTCGCCAGCCCGCTGCCATTGCTTAAAACGAACGGATCGGGTACGGGCCAGTCAAATCCAAGCTCTAACCGAACGCATGTCGCATGCGATGTGCGCGCAGGATTGACCACAGTTTTACGCTTTCATTCTTCAAGGTAGATGAAAGCTATATTTAGCTCCCGAGATATGATGTCCTCTGTGTCGAAGTAACGGATAAGATCTGTGACGACGGGCACGTCTGTAAGTGTACGGCTAAGCTAATGATGGTGATAATCTCTTTTGCAGCTTCGTTACTCGGTCTGGCTCTAATCAGCGGTATCGTAACAGCGCCATGGAGTCTGCAGAAGCTGGGCCGACGCACCACTAACCAACTGAGCTGTCTACCGACCCTGGGCGGCTGGGCGCTGCTCGCTGCTGCCAGGGGACCCGCCACCTTACTGACCAGCAGAGCACTACAGGTTTACACACTTTTCTTATTATTTATAAAATGTGCATTTTTGTGATAGAGAAGAAGAGCGAGCAACGCTCAGCTATACAAATTAGGATCAAAATATATTTGAAAATGAATAATTTTTCACTTTAATAACTCAAGACGCAGATAGAAGATTTATGGTGGGCTTTTTTAGAGATTTTACACGTTATAATGATGGAAGATGGCAATTAATAATTTTTATTATTCTCGAAATGCGACCGCCTTACTCTCTAGCCATTACTCTTTTCTTTTTTTTTTGTTATGGGGCTAACCTGTGGGGCTAACTGCTTCGATTACGTAATTGCTTTTATAAAATCTACGCCTACAGTCCATTTAATGAACAACAAATTGCAAGCCCCCATTGATGATTCTAGCCATAGTAGGATACGACATCTTTGTGATGTTAAGGATTTTAGATTAAATTAATTAATTACATTTATTCGTACTAAATCTATATAAATCCGCTATTAAATTTATAATCTTCACTCTTTATAATGAAACGAAATAGCACATTTTATGGCTAATCATGTCTAGGCAGATAGACAGGCGGTCGCAATAAAGATTTTTAACCAGGTAATAAAAGAAAAAGGAAATGCACTGTGTTTTTTGTACCCACATAGTTATTATGGTTAATATGACATTGTCACATCATATAGTTCACTATACATTTACTGTTTGTAGTTAATGATAAATTTTCCTGTTTGTAACTACATACTTAATAACAGTAATATACGGTACAAAATATTCACAAGCACAGCATTTGATAATACTATTTAAACGTTCATTGTAAGCTACTCACATGTCATGATGTCAATGGTTCAACTACATAATAGCAGCTATTTCAATGAATTCCTATATTACTGTAAAAGTAATAACATGCTACTTAAGTTTTATAGATAAATAGATTGATAAAGTATTTCCTTTAGGTCCTATTTACTTAAATAAAGTAAGCGAAAATCGTTTATATAGCCCAGCGCCGCACTAAGGAGAGCGGAAGGGGGGGGGGGGTGTTGATTACCGCCCCGGGCCCCAAATGGGGTACTAATATAGCCCAAGTATTCTATTATTTATAAATTAATACTAGTGATGACCCAGTGTGGATTGGTGGGTGTTAACGACTGCAGATGCAGGCGAGACCGATGGCTTAATGTGCCTTCCGTAGAATGGAGGAGCTTGATATTATAAAAAAATTGATAACCCGTCCCATAAGCAAACAACCGTATTGCAGACCGAGCGTACTAATCACTGCGTGATCGACCAATAAGAACATGATGGTTAATATTTATCTCAAAGAAAATGTTTTAAAATATTTACAACTCTTATGCCTATAGGAATATCGTCATCTAGTGACTGACAAATTTTTTAAATTAATTTTATATAAGATAAATAAATATTGCGTTCTAAATCTAAGATAAATCAAATATATACTCGTATTTTCATAAATTGAACAACTCTGTGTAATCTTTTATTTCTATCTATATTTAGGGTTTCGGTATGGGGCTACAAGCTGCATCAGCACCAGTCTCCATCGCCGAGTACTCAGCGCCTAAGCATCGTGGTGCCTTTCTGGCAACCATCGCCTTCTCTTTTGCTACTGGGATGCTGGTAGCTCACCTCTTCGGGACCCTCCTGTACTGGCGACAAGCTGGAATAGCCTGCGGGGCCTTCTATGCCTTATCCCTTATTCTAATCTCTCTGACCCCAGAAACTCCTCCGTATCTAGCATCCAAAGGTCTTTATGCAGAATGCAGAAAATCCTTCAGATGGTTCAGAGGTTACGACTACGCCTCAGAAAAAGAATTGGAAGTGCTCCTCAACTCACAAAAGAAACAAGAAATTGTAAAAGAGATGTCAAAATGGGTGCTCTACAAAAGCATTTTAAGAAAACCGGAATTCTACAAACCAACTCTAATAATGATGTTCATGTTTATTCTTTTCCAAATATCTGGTATGACAGTAGTCCCCTCCTATACCGTGCCCATGATGAATGAGGTAACAGCTGCCAGTATAGACTCGTACACGAGTATGCTGATGGTAGACGTGGTGAGGTTCATCACAGCCGTGTTAGCGTGTATTGTCGTTAACAAACTCAACAGGAGAACGGTTCTGTTCCTTGGAATTATCATAACTGTAATCTCCTTGTTCTTGACAGCACTTCTCCTTTATCTCCGTGACTTCGGCTACTTACCTCACGATTACAAATGGACTCCAGTCATACCAACATTGACATATATTTTCGGAAAAACTCTGGGTATTCTTCCAATTCCTTGGGCGATAGCAGGAGAAATATTTCCACTGGCTTACAGGAGCTTGGGTAGCGGAATATCTGGAATGTTCTTGTCGATCATGTTCTTTGTTGTGGTTAAAACTGCCCCGAATTCTTTTGCCAGTATTGGAGTGAGCGGAACTTTTTGTTTGTACGGAGCTTTCACGGGTATATGCGGAGTTTTCTTATATTACCTACTGCCAGAAACTAAAGGCAAGACCCTATATGAAATCGAATGCTACTTTAAAGGTGTATCTAGTGAAATGAAAATCGAGAACACGTGTGAGCACGAGAGGATGTTGGAAGTGGTAAAAGTGGAAGGAGGGTGACAGGCAGATAAGACTGATGAGGAACTGCAAACAGCTCTTGAAGCTGGTCAAGATGGAAAGAAAGATTGTAAGCATCCGCAATGTTAGTTGCAGTAAGCACTGTAAAGTGTATTCATTTGTCACATTGTGACGACACTGATTGTCATATGTCATCGACGGCAAGATGGAAGCAAATATTTTTCCACTCTCTTAAAAGATGGCGTTGCTGGTCTCAACAGAACCACGTCTCTATACTTCAATAAGTATCTACATCGTCTTCAGTGGTCTGTCTAAAATTACTAAATCTATCATCTATTCCTGTTATCAACTGTTACCATGTCCATCATTGGATCAAGCGCCGAGTTTAAAAGACCACCTACCTCGAACGGCAATTTCAGGAGATGCTAGAATCATTGAATCCCTTCACAATTATTTAAATATTCAATTCATTGACTGTTAATGTGTGAATTATTTAATGTATCGCATACGCTAATGAGAGAGCTGCACTATCATGTTCCTATCCCGTTTGAAAGAATTCTAGATCCGGGACTGGCTATTACACTGTCCATGATTTCAATTGTAAACTTACACATTTGATGTTTCATGTGACTGTAAAGCATAATTAAAACGTAAATACATAAATTGTATTTTTATTGAGATTTGTCTTACAAAACGTTTAGTAATTCTAACATCATTACAATTAATTGGTTAATTTAATAAATTATAACACATCACAGACACCGACTTTAAGTATTATTAGGTACATTATGCTTTCTTAAACGTTCTTACTTAATATAATCATACAAATAATGTGTATATACACCTTACAAAAAGTATTATTGTCATACTCAAATTACCATTTAATTTATCTAGTAATAATATATGTTATAAGTTAAGTTTTATTACATTGGTATTGAAATTGACCTAATAAAGTATATGTGAACTACATCTTCGCATCATTTCTGCACCATTTTTGCTATTGAGAGGTTCGGAGACTCTTCTATCTGCTGGGCTTAATCCTCGGAATGTATCTTCGATCTCTTGAAGCGTACGGTCTTTCGTCTCAGGCAACATGAAATACAGGATCGATAAACATACAGTGACAATGCCACCGTACAACCAATAAGTTATAGGTAAAGTAACTGCATCACTCAATACAGGGAAACATTTCACAGCCACAAAAAAGTTTAATGACAAAGGTAAAACACTCAAACCACCACCTAAACCCCTATACTCCAAGGGGAATATCTCTCCCGAAATGGCGAAAGGTATTGAAGATATTCCAACAGTCAAAGAAAACATGTAAATGCCTATTAGCATTAGTGGAAACCATTGACCTTGTATCCTCGAGGGCAACATGTGATTGTGCTTTGCATAAACGTATCCTCCTTTCGTCACGTAAGACAGTATACAAAGGAAGCCACTGCCAAACAAAACTGTCCTTCTTTTCAGAGTTCTCATCAAAAATACTGCTAATATGTTACATATCAATCTCTCGATATCGAGTGCTACCATTAGCATTTCAGCATTAGCTTCTGGACCGACTACGTCCTTAATGATATCTATAGCATAAGAACTGATGACGTTAATACCAGAAAACTGAAACATCGTGTATAATAACATCATAATGATAATAGGTTTGAAGAATTCTGGCTTCTGAATAGTGCTCGTAAAATATCGCAAAGCTCGTGTCACCTTTAACGACAGTGGTAGTTTTATTCCGTCTACACTAGACTTTCTTATCATTTGCTGAGCTTTCATCATGCTCTCCAATTCATCGTTATCTTGTCCGTCGCCTCTTAACCACTTAAAAACCTTTGCGGCTTCCTCATACCGCCCTTGTGAGATTAACCAAGAAGGTGATTCAGGTGAAAATATTATCATCAGTAAACTAGTAAACGTTATGAATGAGCAAACCAACGCGCACTGCTGCCAAGTCAAATACGTTCCTAGCGAGTGGCAGAGTAGTACTCCAATTGTGAGAGACAACGAGATGAGTGTCAGAAATGCCCCTCTGTTTTTTGGATGGGTCATCTCAGCTACTATTATAGAACCTAGGGGACCGAGCATTCCCATGGATACTCCCTGGAGGAATCTTGCAGCAATAAGTGAGGCTACACTGTTCGCCATGATGATAACGAACCACCCAATCAAGATAGGTGGAATTGTAGCCAGATGGGCCGTTTTGCGTCCGAAATTACTCATCATCCAAGTCATGATGAGGTTGCCGACGATAAGCGCTATTCCAATTATAGATGCTGAAAAGAGAAAAGAGAACAGTTTAGATGTTTTTTTTTTCATTTAGGTACTACAACAACTCCGTGGCATACTTGTACTAGCTATAATATTGAAAAGTAAGATATCTCTATAATTCTATTAATGTGAATTGTATTCACCATCGTTATGGTAATGTATAATCGACAGAAAGTTATTGTATTATTATAACTCTAGTTTCTCCTTACCAATAGATGACTCCTGTGCAGTGGTAGCTTTGATGGGCGAGTCTAATGTACGAAGGCTGGGAATGAGTATCGCTGAGAAACCAATGACGGCGCCATGAGCACTGATATTTATGACGACACCCGCCGTCACAAAACACTGGAAATATCAAATACAACTTAGTGAATAATATTTACTGTGAAAATACATTCGCAAAATAAAAATCATTAAGATTGGCGCTCATATCAATAATCACTATCTTTATAAGTTTGATGAAAGCTCAGAGAATAAATAGGCTACTGGAATTACGAACAAAGCACGCAAACTAAAGGTGGAAAATCTTTTTTGTACCGTACAGAGCCGCATCTAGAGTGGATGAAGCATTTACCCCGGTTATGGGACGCCAGAATTATCCTAAGGTTAAGAAAAAATACCCACAGACAAAGAGGCTTTAAATGAATGTATTTTTTTTCTAAAAAAATTATTTGGTGTTGTAGTCACGAAAATAAAATGTCCGATATTTATTGATGAATTCTTTAAACTTGTTCTTTATTTCCTATCCTGTGTAAGATAGCCCTAAGATGCTTAAATACGTAAAGATAGGAACCACTTATATAATTTTCTAACAGATACTTTAAAGGTAATAATAGGCTTAAATAATATTCTTAATACCCGTTGTTTTCAATAGACTTCTGCCGCATAAATTATATACTTATATATATGCCATGTCACCCGCGTATATGAACTAATTTTAAATTTAGTTCAGTAGTTTCGACGCCCCGCATAAATGCAAACAAATAAACAATCAATTTTTCTCTTGGTAAAGTTTATGTGTATATATTAATTGTAATATATAATATTGTATGTTGAAGGAATTGTATTAGAAACAAGGTAATCCTATTAATATATCGATGCCGCCTTTTGAATTTCGCCAGTTTCATTAGTAGAGAATGTTTTTTGGCATCGAGTCCGCCATTTAGTGTATTATAGCAAAAATATTAAATAAATTTATTTAAACTTCAAACATAAATTGACAAAATACGAATAAATATTGACAATAGTTTCGTATTCAATATGTATGTACGTCATAATCAAATTTTACATGTCGGTAATATCATTACCTACATTATTAAGTGCCTCGATATTTTTTTAATCTACTTTATCTTATTATAAAGTAAGCCCGCGATTGCTAAATTATTATTGAGTAATTTTTGATCCAACGATTATGTACACAACTGATAACAAATAAAAAGCTATTGATTCAATATCACATTGCTGACGTTTCATGACGCTGATCTATAATGTATGAGGATAAAACTGACAAAAATTGTATACCAAAATGAATATTTCATATTTAATTTAAATCAATTTATTTATTCAACAAAAATTTGTAAGTCTACTTTTAAAAATATATGTAAACAAAAAATATATTTTTTTAATATACAGATGAACTATCCCGACTAAAATATAGCTGGCGACCCCCTTGGGCTATAGAAAGACAAAAAAAATGTTTAAAATATTACATTTATTTCTTTCCATAATTGTGTACAAATTATTAATTCTTAATGAAAGACCCACAGATTGAAAAACACTGACCTAGAACTTTATTTGGCAAGTAACATCGTTTTATAGGACAAGTTTAAAATTGTGTAAACTATACATTTCTAGGTGACATAATATTAAAAAAAAAGGTTACTTAGAATTCAAAATAAAGCATCTACTCGTAGGTACTTTAAGTGAGGAGATTTTATACACGCGGAAAGTATTGTTGGGTAAAAATATCGTTTTCATATACTTTGATGATGAATACACGACAGTTCTTTGATGTAATGCGTTCGAGATTCATTGAATTATATGTTTTGTCATCTATTGAATAAATTCAATAAGCGTCGACAATATACTTACCTAAAGCTAGGGTTGTCCACTTTTTTGAAAGAACTATAGTAGGTATATAGGATTTCATAGGTGGTAAATAAAAAGTATGAACTTATGAAAACAGTCCTCCTCCTTAATTCGTTCCCTCAATGCTGAGGATCGTGGCAGTATTGCAGCAGGCTCTTCCATTTGCTGCGATTTTCTGTTTTATGGAGAGACTGGGGCATCTGTAATTCTTCGTACACCAGATTAGACCATCGTCTGTGACTGCATCATCTTGGCCATTTGCCATCCACTTTGCCGGTCATTATGAGCTTTTCCAAATAGTATTCTGTGGAGGCATGTTGTAGACGTCCGCTGATGTATTTCTAGCTTAATCTCCCTTAGAATCGACATATTTCATCGACGCATTGTCCAAAGAATGTGAAGCATTCTTCGCAAACACGATATATCGAGAACGTCGACTATTATCCGCCGCTTTTAGAATCCAGATTTCAGAACCGTAGAAAAAAAAGAAAGGCCAACAAGCAGCATGAACTGGGTAGTATTTACAAATGCAACGAAAATACCATTTCATTTTTTTAATAGCAGCGTGTTAAAAGTAAATAGCCAAGTCATTTGGTTAACGTATAATATATGACTATATGACGCATATGCGTGACTGGCACTAGTATAGTAAACATTGTAAAAAATAAGTACTCCTACATGACGTTGAGTACAATACTCTATTTTAGAGTACGGTTAGCAACCCTAGTTATCGCTTTAAGCAATTTTCCTGTTCTACTTTTCTTTGTAACACGAAAAGCGTCTTGAGACGAAATTCTTGTCATTTTATTTTTTCATATAATCCAATACAAAGGTACAAAATTTCTTTACTTTGCTGCACGTCAGGCTACCACAATATGTCAAATTAGCTCAATTGATTTTGAACTCTATATACAAATTGTTAAGGTTGAAAAACTAGTGGAGAATTTTGACAGTTTTGTATAGTCTGAAGTGTTGTACAGTGAGAGTGAAATCAATTAACAACATATTGTCAATTGTATTCCGTTTTGGAGGAAATTCTCGAATGTGTGTTTTCTATTTTGACTGTGATTTTTGCGTAAATTTCCATAAAATTATCTTGATCTTGGTATCAAAAAGATATTAATAATTTATTGAATAGTGCAGAAAAACTGTTGGTATAGTTCATAGCGACTTCGTTCTTCGTTAATTGTGCTTTACTTTATAATTAACCCCAAAATTGTAGAGAATGATTTTCATACTATTCGCGATGGCACTTTTTTCAGCTTCTGGATTGAGCTACTGAGCTACGAGGGGAAATGCTTCAAAATTCCTAATTGAAGCAAAAGAAAAATCCATACATTGCAAAAATGTGGTAATATAGCGGCCTCGTCGTAAAAAAATCGTACCTAGATCCGCAGCATAAAAAACGTGTCATGCATGATGATGATGACACCGTGACATGTTGGGTCGCCATTGCATGACGTTATTCGTTATTGATTAATAGACTACTGTAAGCTGGTTCGGATATGCCGCAATCTTAAAAAGAACGCACTTCAAACGGCTTCCAATAAGATAAAGTTAAAATACATCAATGTATTACATTGATAAGATAGTTGTATCTATTGCCATTGTATACATATATTGAAGTATTTAGTTAAATCAAGGCTCTGTTGCCGCATCAAAAGCGTGTCAGTGGCAGCGCCATATGAAATAAATGAGATACGAGTCCATATAGTTATCGTCTAAGTACAGAATTACATTTAGCCCGCGCCGCGTGCAGCCACGTGCCCTCGTAGGTAGGTTTCGGACATTTGCTCCACACGCGAGACAGGTTAAATGTAATCTATAACTGTAAAACTATAACATCTAGCAACTTCCGCACCCACTCAGTATCTGAAAGACCAGGGGGCCAATTCTACTAAATAAATTTTGTTTAAATCGAATCGAAAACGGAACGAAACCGAACGAAACTACAACTTTTAGTGGTTTTCCTATTCTACTCGGTGTCAAAATGGCGTCAAACGATACAGTTCCGGTTCTATTTTAGTTTAGTTAACTATCGATCGACAGAAACTGTAAACGGTATTCTACTCGCTCAATCGAACATAGAACTATATAGATGTAGTTATGCAAACCGGAACCAACCCACAAATCTGTCAAAATCGAGTTATGTGCAGAGAAGTCTAAAAGTGTTGCAATTAAACTCACATGTTGTAAATTCACAAAACTTCTTGATAAATAAATAAAATAAAATATATTCTACAATAAATTATAAGTAAAAACAAGAAACCCATTTTTCTCAAAACTGACATCATGTGGCTGGTTTGCATAACTACGTCCATATACTTGAGTCGATCGTCGGCCCGTCGGCCCTTATTCCACTAAAATTTTGACACTTCGTTGGATCGAAACGCTACTGAAATGTTACTAAATCCGAACGTTTCATCTGTCAAAATTAACGATTTCTAAAAAGTTGCAAATTTCTACTTTTTCATGATCGATAGTTAGCGTTTAATGATAGATGTGAAACAATTTATATTATTTAAAATCTTAAGAGGTGCAATTAGGTACCCCCAATTGCTGAGTGAAATAAAATACCTTGATCCATCTTCAGAATTGATAATTAAAAACATTTTGCCCTACAAAAGTAACTTCGGCAAACATATTTGTAGTGTTTGTATAGAAAAAGTTTTTATCTCGGTACATTGGAGAGCTGTGAAACCTGTTCTTCGGTACCTGAAGGCTATAAAAAATAGGAAACTGACCTATAACAATAGTGGTGATCTAATCGGATTTGCTGATGCCGATTATGGTGGTAATCTGGTGGACAGACGATCCTATACAGGATATGTTTTCCAAATGTGTGGTTCAGCAGTGTCATGGGAATCACGTAAACAGAGAACCGTTGCAACATCAACAACAGAAGCTGAGTACATGGCTCTAAGTGAAGCCTGTAAGGAAGCCATCTACATTCGCTCATTACTAAGCGACATCTTTTGCTTTTCGTCACCCATCACCATTAATTGTGATAATCAAAGTGCCATTAAATTAACAAAAAACAACATTCATCACGCCCGCACAAAACATATTGATATTAGACATCATTTTGTTCGTGAGTCTATATCCACTAAACAAGTCAATGTGTCATTCATACCATCAGCTCACCAAACAGCAGACATTCTCACAAAGCCACTGCCTAAGCTGAGACACTATATGTGCCTAACTAATTTAGGCTTAGTTTAGTGTTATTTGTTTTGTGTTATTAGGTTAATTAGGTT